TTTACAAGTACGGACCTGTGTTTTGTTAGTTAAAAATATTTGAATTAGTAAATGATGTATTATCAGTGTAAGAAATCAGGTACGTTTACTTGTACAGACCTGTATTATAAATTATTTGAAATACACAACTACATTTTAAATGCTTAAAATAATTTAATAAAAAAAAAATATGTATTTAACTACTTAATCACGTCAGAAACAAATAAATGAAAACAATGATTAACGATAAGAGAAAAACTACAGTAGTTGCTCAAAATGTCCTCCTTCTTCTTGAATACATAAGTCAATACGGTCTGTCATTTGAGCTATGCTGGCAGAAACCATTTGTGGAGTGATATTATTAAACGCATTAATTATCCTATCTCGTAATTGATTTAAGTCATTTGGAATACCATCATAATATACTTTATTTTTGATATATCCCCATACAAAATAATCCATAGGATTTAAGCAGGGTGACCTAGGGGGCCATCGAATAGGTCCATGTGTACCAAACCACCTCCTGGGAAATCTTTCGTTTAAATAATTTCTGATTAATGCAGCATTATGTGGCCCACAGCCACCTTGCATAAAATAAATATTTCTTCGATCACCTAAAGGAAGATTATCTAACATATCTTCTAGCAATTGTAAATAGTTGTGTTGGTTGAGGTTTCCGTCAATAAAAATAGGACGAATTATTTTATTATTGAGTATTCCACACCATAAGTTTATTGAAAATCTAATTTGGGGTCTTACTTCTTGAATTAAATGTGGGTTGTCGGTGGCATAAAAATGTTTATTTTTTCTATTAAATATTCCACTATTAGTAAATGTCGATTCATCTGTCCATAAAATTCGTCCATGAAAGGATACATCATTATTTAATTTTCGTTTATACCAACGGCAAAATTCTATTCTACGATTATAATCTCCAGGATGTAGCTTTTGTACAGTTTGGAATTTGTAATCATGGTACTTATGTTTTTTAAGAATGTTTTTCACAGTACTTGCAGAAACTCCACATTCTCGGCTTATTGCTCTAGACGACGTTTCAGGGTTGATATAAACTTGAGACAAAACATTTATTTCATTTATTGTATTACGTTTTAAATATTTACCACGTTTTTTTCAATATTTCCTTCGTGAGCCATATTTAACGCTATCCTATAATAAATTAATAAAGATGGTTGCCTCCTTCCTGGATACAACTGAAGGTATCTTTCTGCAGCTTATCCACTATTTCTGTTACATTTTATGTACACATCGTACATATCTTTTTTCTCACTTCTACTGTAACGAACCATATTTTCAATACCCTAATTAAAAATATACCAATGCTTTTATCCGATACCAGACTGTCAAATATACAATAATAAAATGTGACATGCCAGGTTAACTTGATTTAAATTTATCTGTATAATAATCAAGACGTGTTGCTAGATATACAATTATTATTGTAAGTAGGTCTCTATCTGCAGTTTGTTAACTTTTTCTTTTTTATACTATGAGGAACCATATCAGTTTAAAAAATCCAACAAAATATGACAAATCAGGCTAACTTTATGTATTTAAAAATCGGGATGTACTTTATTTATAGATTAATATAGGGATTGGTCAAGTGCAAAAACCATAAAAATGGAAAATATTTTTTAGCAAATGTGTAAACGAACATGTTGTCTTGATGTAAAGTTAAAAGTTTGACTTTGGTATTTATTATTTATAATCTCTTACAACGATAATACATCATTTACTAATTCAAATATTTTTAACTAACAAAACACAGGTCCGTACTTGTAAACTTACCTGATGATGTTCAAATCTTCCGAAATGTTGACTAATCACAATATGTTATTACATCATTGTATTCAACATTGAACATGCATTAAAATTATGAGCCAGGAAAATATTGGTCCATATTCAAATAAAGAAGTTGATGGTGGTCCTGCATTTACGAAACGTCGGATAAAAAAACTAAATACGCTATCATACGCACAATTTGATATAAAACAAAAAACTCCAAATGAGTTTTTGTCTATTTTTGCAAATAAACGTTCTGTAGCGGACTAAAGAAATGGTACTTATTTGTTTTTTATCGAATATCTCGGAAACCGGACCTGATATTTTAGTTTTCAAAACGCCCTCAGATTGGACTTCGAAATATGCAACTTTTTCCCCATTTAACCAACTTTGTGTTACCAACGGTTTACGAGATAGCAATACATTTCAATGAAAAAGTGGCCACCCTGTATATAGACATGAGGTCACCTGTATTAATCAAAATAACAAAATCTTGTGAAATTTGTAATGATTTATATGAAATTAATTAAGTTTCTAAACAATTAAAGCCAATTAAATAAATTCAAAATAATTTTAAATATTCAAGCACTTTTGGAACAATTTTTGTAATTTTTATTTGCATAATTATTTTATTACTAATTAAATACAGAAGACAACTTTTAAGAGGATATAGAAGAAGAAAGAAAACGAAGAAACTGAATTAGAAAATCTCACAGAAGGTGTTTTGAAAAATAACTCCATATTTTTTAAAAATTAAGCAGGAAGGAGTTATATATTGTGAACATGATACGACTCTTTTATGTTTAATAATCATTTTTAGTTTATAAATAGGAGTAAAACATTATTATTGTCATTTGAGATAGCTTTAGTGTAGGCTTTAGTCCAGAGTTGTCTTAAATATCCATTTAGTTGTATTTTGAATTAATAAATTTTTTTAAAAATAATAGTTTCGTTTTGGAATTTATAACTAGCACGTGCCGCATGTGACAGCTTGGAAGACGACCTTTGTTGTATTGTATCTATGGAAGACTATTATTTTTAGCTTTCTTATTAAAAAAATAAGCGTCACACTTAATTTCTGATTTGCGAATATAATTTCTTTTTCGTCTTTTTGCTTATTTGGGTGGATGGAAGACGTACTTTGTCGTGAAATTCAGGTGGAAGATGATATTTTCTATACTTCATTTATTTAAATTAACGTTTACAACAAGTTTCATGCATGCGAAAATGATTTTTTTTTTATATTTTTTTTTACTGTAATTGCAACTCTCCTGCAACCCCCTGTCGTAAGGGTGCGTCGGAAGACGTTCATATTAGTGTTACAATAGTGTTACATATTACTTGCATAACTCAAATAAAAAAAATTAAACTTGCGAAAATGACCCGGAAATTTCTGTCGTTACCTCCTCCCGGTCTAGTAGTAAATAAAAGAAATAGGGTAGGCAGGAATAAGTTAGCCATTTTGATCAATTATGAATAGTTTTGACAGAAAAATTTCAAAATTCAAAAATCTCTATTTTTCTTAACAAATCAAGTCTGACAGATCAATGAAATTAGTTATTCAGGGAGAATCTAAAAATGTACTAAAATACAGGGTGAGCCACAAAACTTTGATACGCCACATTTTTTTGGGACATACTAAGTATATATTTTAAAATAATTTTAAAAAGGTGGCTTTCCTCATCATATATACTTAAAAAATAGGAGCCATTTTAAAACTTCATCGATTCGTTATAAACGTCAGAGGCGTGGTAAATTATCCTGTATAATGTGTTATTGTTATTAACAAATTATACTGAAATTGAAATAGTAGTTTATGCAACAAGAGTGGATATATATTTTTTCTACGACTCACTAACGAAAATCTATAATATTTTAGCTTATTAAGACAAAATAACTAATTTTAAAATATATGTTTTTTACTAATTCATAAAATAAAATAAACAGAAGAAAATTAGCCCTTTGGTTTTAATACTCGTAATTACACTAGTTTCACATATAGTTTGATTAAAATTTAATTTTTTTTTTCAAATTGTGGCCCAAATAAAAATAATTTTTTCATTATTTATCGATTCTAAACAAAAATAACTCATTTAGTGTATATTTAAAAAATATACTGATAATTAGTTTGAGACAATAATTGTCACTTATTTAAAATTTTAAAAATAATAGTTTGGTATCCAAAATATGAACTGTGATTGGTGGATTTCATTTTGTTGCAGTGCTTTCACTACTTAGAATAGATATAAAATATGTTTGTTCAGTTGAACGTAATAATAATAATAATAATCTGTTTTTTCTACGCTTACATTTCAATGTAGAAATCTAGAATAATAACTAGAAATACCTATGCAACGTAAATACGTAATTTTTTTCTATTTACCCCATAAAAACTGCTATTTGCACCACTTCATACTGTAGTTCCTTAGTTTATATATACATAAATTATGTTTATAATAATATAAATACAAAATACGTCTTAAAAATAAGGATATCTGCATCTACTTACCCCTTACTGTTATTATTTTGCTTCACGGCACAACGCTTTCCACAAACGCATTCAAATAAATGATGTGGATGCGAGTCCGAGCTGTAGTGACCGTTTCGAACAGAAAATTTTTTGTTTTTATATCATCTGCATCTCATAAACACGCATTTAAAAGTAATTGTAATTAAAAAAATGTAATTGTACTTATAATTAAAAAAAAGTGATTATAATTGAAAAAGTAATTGTACTTATGACAAGTAATTGTATTTAGACAATTTAAATAATATAAATTAGTACAATTACAAAGTACAAATCCTACACATATTTTGCCGCAATTACAATTCCAAATTACTTTGAGAAAAAAAGTACTTATATACAATTACAAATTACATGGAAAAAAGTAATTGTTTACATTTTAACTAGGAATTACCCAGCTCTGCTAGATAATCGCAGAAAACTTATGTTTTTGACCTTTAACCTTTAAAAACTTAACAACGCAGACACGAGATTTTATGAGACTTTTGAGACAACTTTAAGAATGCAAAAATGAAGGTGTATACGAATTTCCAGCTTATTATCTCTCATTCCGAGGTGAAACCCCTATGATTGGAGTATATAGCTATTTTTCGCGGTTTAAAAATAGTCTATTTTATGTATCCTTAGCAACCAATAATTGTTGTGTTTTTGGCCAGTTGGACAAAAATATAATTTTTTAAGAACTTCTATTTTTCAGGCCTAAATATTTCATCATGGAAAATGTCAGAAATTTTGTTTCATTCAAAAAAAGTATGATTTTAAAATTAACACTAAGATGTCTTCTTGCAATGGGATATCAAGTTACTTTTGGAATTTTACAAGCAGGACAGTATGGGGTTCCTCAAACTCGAAAAAGATTCATTTTAATGGCCGCAGCACCTGGCTGTGTATTGCCAACTTATCCGGAACCATTATATGTTTTCAGCAAAAAAGCAACACGTCTAACTTTTGTTGCAGACGGATTTACCTATTACAATGGTAATTTAAAAACGATATATTAAATTATTGATAGACCACTTATAAAATGATATGTTAAAGAAAAAAGAATCTTTTAATAACAATAATTACTATGATACTTACATATTATATATTTCTTTTTTTCTAGAATGTTTTTGGACTGAATCTGCACCATTTAGAAACATTACAGTCAGAGATGCATTGTGCGACTTGCCTGAGATTAAAAATGGTTCAATGTGCCTTGAAATACCTTATAACACTGATCCCATGACCCATTTTCAACGAAAAATGAGAGGCCCCGGAGATAATACTATAGTTCGGGATCATATATGTAAAGAGATGAGTTCACTTGTTGTAGCAAGAATGTCACATATTCCGATTTATCCAGGAGCAGATTGGAGGGATTTGCCCAATATAAAATTGAGACTAACTGATGGTACCATTACAAATATTCTGCAGTATGCCTACACGTATGGATATACATTTAAATTAAACTTAAAAAATCTTATAATGAACCATCAAAAAATTTAACTTACGCTAAATAGAACAATTTTCTTTTAAAACACATCAAACGCAAAATCGTAAATTGGAAAATTAATGAACACAAAATGAAACCTCAAATTTAACATATTTAGCGGTTGCATAGATAGTAACAATATTGGCGAAATTAGTGCGGATTTAGGGAATATCGTTTGGCAACAGAGCTGGTGACTCAATTAACAGTATAATTGAATCCATCAACATATTTTAACGAAAAGAATATAACATCAGAAAATAAATAATTAAATCCACGATTTAAAATAATTTTCAGAACATATTTTTATCTTTGTCGGTTATAAGAACTATGGCCTCTTTGAGTCTATTGTATTACGTTGCTTTTCCCGTAGCCAGGTACTATCTTTGGAATAGTCCTGTACCTTTGGTTAGTTTTACTAAATTCCCTACCAAGTATTCCTGGGGCGTTCTTCCCGGTTCTGACCAAAAAGGGTGAGGTGCCGCCTAGCAAGAGCTTCACATTTGAAGATCACATTGTATGAGGTTTGTTCTTCTTCCATGCACAGTCTACACGTGGTGGGATCATTGTGTAATCACATCACATAAAGGTGTTTCAGCAAGCAATGTCCCATTATTAATACTGCAATGGTGGATATCTGAGGCTTTGCGAGTTGTAGTACCCCAGTAACCATGCATGGGTTTAGTCCCTTTCGCATGAGCTTACTGATTATGTGCCCTCTTATCTGTTGGTGTTTTGTGGTTATCCACCTATGCTTACCTCTGTTCACTGCCTGTCGAACAGATATTTTGCTTATCCCAAATACAGGTTCAGGTTTTGTAAAATGGTAGTACTGATCCCTTTTTGGCGACTTTGTCAGCCTTTTCATTTCCTTGGATACCTTTTTGTCCTGGTACCCACGCTAGGTTTACCTTATTGTTGGTTGCCAGATCATTTAGTATTCCAAGGCAGTTCCAGACCAGCTTTGACTTGATTTTGTTTGAACAAAGGACCTTTAAGGGTGCTTGGCTATCTAAGAGAATTAAGATATATAAATTGTTTATTTAGTCAAAAACTATTTTTTACATGTCAATACATCTTCACATTTAAAATAAAAAATACATAAGTATACTCGTAGAATCAACATACATTTAAAATACAATAAAAATACATAAGTATACAGTACACTTACATGTCGACTATACAAAACATAATAAAAGAACAAGAAAAAAAACATCAATTGGTCAGCAAGTACTCACGCAGTTTCTTTTAAATATTGCTAAGTTTGAAGAACATTTAATATCTTTAGGCAAATTAATAAAAGCTTGTACACCTTTAAAAAACACCGAATTTTGTGTACATTTTTTCGAGGCTTTATAAACTCTAAAATGTTTCTTATTTCGTGTATTGTTCTGATCATCCTGATTATAACTTAAACTAGTTTATAAATATACTGGGGAGATTCCTGATTTAATCTTAAATATAAATAGCTGGGAATAGAACAGGAAATATTTTTTAACAGGCAACCACTGAAGTACACATAACATGGAATTGATTGGTTTTAATCTTGAACAGCTCAGTATTAACCTCATACCTCTATTTAATAACCAACTAGCCTAAAGACCATTTGTAACTACTAATATGTCTTTAGCTACTATTGTTAATATACTATTAAGGGATTAAGGCAGCACTGTCACCAGCCAAAGGATCCTGGAGTCCATAAGGAGCATCCATTCACCAGTGCCAAATAAAAATAATAAAATTAAAAGAACAAAAGTTTTCCCTTAATAGCATTGTCGAGCGGTTCTTGGTAACTAGTTTTAGATTCTTCTAGTCCTAAGGGAATAGAAACGCCGAGGCTTCTCAAATGCTCGGAATATTTTACTGGTTTGGAAAGGGGGGAGAGATTAATAATAATTATTAAAACATTAACAAATGTATATTTACAATAAGTACAAAATTTGACTACACAGGCAGCACACTTTGGTATAAATTACGTTTTTTTTAAGTACTACCATACGTATGAATACGGTTGATGTACTACCAAATATATTCGTGAAAATGTCCGCCTTATAAACGTCGACTACTAAGAATGTATCCACCTATAATTAAACGTTTTTACTATACGTCTATATTAGATTTATAGTTGTAGTATATTTATACGAATCCACTTTGGTATAAAAGACAAATTAAATAAAGTGATCAAAACAAAATTTCTAAAAGAGGCCATGGAAAAATGTTAATATTTCTTAAATGACAGTTTGGATTTCATCCATAGCAGGTGTGTATACACTAGAAATAGGTATTACTCGTGTTTCTATTTTGGTTGTAATTGGCCTAAATATTTAGGAAATTTTTTTTGATCACTTGTTATATGTACAGAACAATATTTTATTAAAAAAAATAAATAAACAATAAAATACTAAAAAATAAATAAGTACTAAAAAATAAACACTAAAATACTGAATAACAAACTAAACTAAACTTTTCTTTGACTAACAAAAAATATATATGAAAATTAAAACCTTAGCTCAACACTTTGGATGTGTTGTGTCCTAGACAGGCCTTAGCTAACTTAAGCCAATCTTGCATAGCACTTCTAATCGTTCGGTCGGTTAAGTCTCTTGGTTCACCCCTATTCATATAACCAAAATGTAACTGCATTTCAGGTGAAATATTTTCTAAAAGCTCCAAAGTTAAATTTGTATTATTTTCTAGGAAATTATTATAAATAATAGAATCAGATGATATATTAATGTCCGAAGCCTTATTAATGTTATCTTCATTGGGAATAAAAAAAAATTGATTTGACTTTAGCATCTTGAACATTTTGTGCTATTTTTCTTAGTAGATGACGCCGAGACAGAGTTATTTTAGACATTTTATTAAAAAAAAAACAACTGACCAAAAAAAAGGAAAATAAGTATGCTTGGAATAACTAGATAGCCTAAAAAAATACGTATAAAAGTAAGGTTATGTTTTGGAAGTTCTATAAGCATTTTACACACTGTAATAAAACAGTAGTTGTTGTAAAATGCAACAGTTATTAAACGAGTAGCTAAATTAAAACAATAGAAACTTACCTAAAACAACAACACCAACAATTTTACAATAACTTTTTATTACATAAAAAACGATTATCGTGGTTAGCAACTAGTTAACAGAAATATAACTTATAATAGCGTGAATTGTCTGATTGATAGCGAGCGCTTCACAGCCACCAGCCACCATCAGTCAGCTGATTCCCGATCGTCTGCCGGTACCTCTCGATGCTCTGCACTACGCGCACTTTGGACCAGCCGACTTAGCTTAAAGCACACCCCGAATCTCATTCACTGAAACGACATGGACTAGTCCACCCCACCATGGTTATTGGCGGGTTATTTAAATGTTCGGGTGTTTGAAATCGGTACAATGGGGAATTTGTTATAAATATTACAGGTAATATAATTAAAAAAATATAGTGTAATGTAAATAAATATATCTATAAGCTTTTAATTTAAATAAACCTAAATATATACATATTATTTACTTCTGTCTACTAGTTCATCGTAAACTAGTAATATGCGTTTAAGGTGACATATTTAAACGTAGAATAATATAGGTATATTAACTAGTATCAACAAACAAAAGCGTTTAATTTATCTGTTAAAAAACGTTAAGTATAAAAATGGTAGATGGTAAACGTTTAAAAAATCAACCAAGACGAAATTTAAACGGGAGTTATAAACGAAGAACACATATTGTAATATTATGTAAATTTATAATAAACCTAAACGCATATTTAGGCCCACTGTATATAAATAGTTCATCGCAAACTGAAAATAGTCGTATATTGTTAACTACATTTAAACGTAGAAAAATTTACAATTATATACCATAGGATGTATACAAAAAACGTATAATATATCTTTTAAAATACGGCATGTATAATAATCGTAAACTGTAAACGTATACGGAATCAACCAATACCAAAATTAAACGAGTATAACGTATAAAATACGTTAGTTATTAATGTGTGCTGCCTGGGTAATAGTCTTAAGAAAGAATAAATACAATTATATTTAGAGAATAAAGCACTACTTGATAATATATCCAAACTTTTAGTAAAAGAACCTATGATTTATAACAACTAGATAACCTTCCTATTAAATTATGTAGTTTAGACTTATTAAAAATAGTACCGGAAACTTTAACTATATAATAATATAAAATATGTACGGGACGAAAATGTAAAATTGGCATTTATTATATGTAAATCAGTTAATCATCTCAAACAAAACACTATAAAAATAAGTGAAAGATATTTACCCATAGTTCACAAATCGCTGCACAAAAAACTTTACACATTACTTTATTTCGGGACATGAATCCCGAAAATGAGAGCTCTCGCCTTCTGAGAGAGTCTGGACTTTAGTCCTCACTCGAAGTCTTTTTCTTTCTCGTGTGTCTATTTAGAACCCAACATTTACGTGGTAGATGTAGTTAGAGTTGTAGTTAGAATGCCCACGTTCTACCTTGAATCCCCTAGTTCAATGTAAGCCATTGACTGGAGTAATAACCTGATTGTTTTGTTTCCATACCTGTGTTTCCTTTTGAATTTTTAATTTAAGGTAGTTCACTCGCGACAGTCGTACACAAAAATATCGTCCTATGGTGAATACCAAAAGTTCGAGGTTCTTAATGCTGAAGAAAGGAAATTTTTGTAAGAGACTGTACACAACACATGTAATCTTATACAGAGTGGCCCAAAAGTCTGGAAACGGCCAATTATCTCGTAAATTGCTAGTCCTAATTGTACAAAATTTGGGGTACAACTATTTTGGGATACGGAGATTCCAGATTTGATATTTGCAATGTTACCAGATTTTCCGTTTCTCTTATATTATTAGTCACTTTGGTTTTTCAAATTGATCACCCTGTATATTAAGTCATTATTGGAATCTCCTATTTAATACTAATGAAACACGAAAGGGC